AGCATTATTAAGTATAATAAATGGAGTTTAGTGTATTACGTAAGTCGCAGATCATTACTAATATCCGGTTATAAAAAATCGGATGTCTACTGTACGAACTTAAAAAAGTGTCGCAATGACGGAAGGTCTTCCCCGTATAGTTTCTCCTATTCGTCATATTGTTTTTCCTCCTTCTCCTCCTCTTTTTCCTCTTACTCTCCCCTATTTCTCTACTCCTAAAAGGAAGGAGATAAAAAGAGTGAGATATGTGAATCACCCCTTTATAGCACCTACAGAATTTCGAGTGTCATTTAATGACGATTATAATATTGTGGATAATGCCTCTTCTTGCGAACTAATTTCAAAACATAATTCATGTCGCCGCTTCAATTCAAAAAGTTATTTTCACTATCTTTCTCAATACAAATCCACAGATTTAATAATTGAAGTGGGTGAAAAACATAAACTAGAGAGATTTATGGCACATACAGCAATTCTCTCCAAAAGTACACCTTATTTTAAATGTTCTTTATCGTCAACTTGGGCCAGATTTGAAAATGATAAAATTATCTTTAAAAAGCCTAATATTGCACCACAAGTGTTTAACATTATATTAGAGTATGAATCAAATTCCTTTAATGAGCTAATAATAATTTTTGAAAATATTTATTAACTTTTTGATTCTAATTTTAGCTACATTTATAGTGGAAAAGTACTTTGGGATGATCATACTGAACAGGATTTATTAGACTTTTTGGTGGCTGCTGATGAATTATTATTAATTGATGAAATTCTTGACGAAGGCCAATGCTATCTAATTGAGCAAAGATATGAATGGATCCTAAGCAATTTAAGTTCAGTAACTTTTTATAGTTTCAGATACAAACCATTTAAAAAATTAAAAAAATTTTGCATGGAAAGGATTTGTGAAAATCCAAAATTAATCTTCTTTAGATCAAATTATTTCCTAAATTTTGACGATAGTTTTTGGATAAACTTTTTGAGTCAAGATCATATTCAAATGGATGAATTTGAAATTTGGCACAATTTGATTTTATGGGGAATTGGTCAATCTTCATTAACAAATCTTTCTTTTTTTAATTTTTCTAAAAAAGAATTAGCTGATTTAAAAAACATATTACATCGTTTTATCCCATTAATTAGATTCACGGAATTTTCTATTAGTCAATTTTATACATTTGTTTGGCCTTTTAGAGATATTATTAATCTAAATTTACAAAAAGAAATTATAGATTTTCAAAATAATTTAAAATTACGGCTTAATACCATTTCAGAACCAAGACAACCAAAATTTACCTTCTTTAAGTCTAGCATTATTACACCAATACAGGCAATTATGATTTTTCAAAAGATTCCAAAAATTAAACGATTAACTTTAGCAAAGATCCATTGTGAACTTAATTTACTTTTACAAGGAACTCGTGATGGATTTACATCTAAAGTATTTCATGAACTTTGTGAAAATAAAGGACCAACAATTATAGTTATGAAAATCAAAAATTCTGATAAAATAATTGGTGGATACAATCCCGTATGTTGGGGATGCCGAGAAGAACCTGATTCACTTTATTGGATTAATAATGATAATGATAAATATTTACACACAGATGACAGTTTTATATTCTCTTTTAGTACTTGTAAAAATTCTAAGAAAGCCAAGTTTAGCAGGGTTAAAAAGTCTGGACCGGCAATTAGAGATAATCCAAAATTAGGTCCATGCTTTGGTAAAGGAGATATATATATGACCAATAATTTTAATAACTATCAAGCATGCTCCTCTAATCCTTCAAGTTTTGATGATCTTATATCGCCAAAGAACTTTTCTATCATTGAATATGCAGTTTTTCAAATTGTATACAAAAGAAGTGAAGAAAATAGATGGATTTCATTTATGAATCCCAAATACTTTAAAGATGATAAATATGTTGGGCCTGTTGTTTAATATATGACATTTGTAATTAGTGTGATACTTAAGTATGATATTTAATTAGTTATTTTATCAGTTACAGTATTCATTTAATGGATATGTTTTGCCAAATAATCTCTATTATCACAATAGACTAGAATCAGAAAC